TTTGGGATGAATTTTCCCTGTTTGGGATGAATTTTCCCCATTTCAGGATGACTGGATCCATTTTTGAGGTGAATTTGCCCAATTTTGGGGTGAATTTTCTGCATTTGGGGTGAATTTTCCCCATTTTGTGCTGTCCATGCCCAGTTTGAATTCACACAATTTTGGGATAAATTTTCCCCGTTTTGGGGTGACAGAACCATTTTTGAGGTGAATTTTCCCAGTTTTGTGGTGAATTTTTCCCATTTGGGATGAATTTTCCCCATTTTGTGGTGTACATGCCCAGTTTGAATTAATCCAATTTTAGGGTAAATTTTTCCTGTTTTGGGGTGACCAGATCCATTTTGGGGGGGAATATTCCCCATTTGGGATGAATTTTTCCAATTTTGGGGTGAATTTTCCCCATTTTGTGCTATTCATGCCCAGTTTGAATTCACACAATTTTGGGGTGAATTTTTCCCGTTTTGGGGTGACTGGATCCATTTTTGGGGTGTATTTTTCCCATTTTGGGGTGAATTTTCCCCGTTTTGGGGTGAATTTTTCCCATTTGGGGGTGAATTTTTCCCATTTTGGGGTGAATTTTCCCCGTTTTGGGGTGAATTTTTCCCATTTGGGGGTGAATTTTTCCCATTATGTGGTGAATTTTCCCCATTTTGTGGTATACATGCCTAGTTAGAATTCACCCAATTTTGGGGTGAATTTTCCCAATTTTGGGGCGAATTTTCCCTGTTCTGTGCTGTCCATGCCCAGTTTGAATTCATCCAATTTTGTGGTGAATTTTTCCCAATTGGGGGTGAATTTTCCCAGTTTTGTGGTGAATTTTCCCCATTTTGTGGTGTCCATGCCCAGTTTGAACTCACACAATTTTGGGGTGAATTTGGCCAGTTTGGGGTGAATTTTTCCCCTTTTGGGGTGAATTTTCCCTGTTTTGTGCTGTCCATGCCCAGTTTGAATTCACCCAGTTTTGGGGTGAATTTTTCCCGTTTTGGGGTTACCAGATCCATTTTTGGGGGTGAATTTTCCCCATTTTGTGCTGTCCATGCCCAGTTTGAACTCACACATTTTTGGGGTGAATTTGGCCAGTTTGGGGTGAATTTTTCCCCTTTTGGGGTGAATTTTCCCCGTTTTGTGCTATCCATGCCCAGTTTGAATTCATATATTTTTGGGGTGAATTTTCCCCATTTTGTGCTGTCCATGCCCAGTTTGAACTCACCCAGTTTTGGGGTGATTTTTTCCCGTTTTGGGGTGTCCAGATCCATTTTTTGGGGTGAATTTTCCCAGTTTTTGGTGAATTTTCCCCATTTTGTGGTGTCCATGCCCAGTTTGAACTCACACAATTTTGGAGTGAATTTGGCCAGTTTGGGGTGAATTTTTCCCCTTTTGGGGTGAATTTTCCCCATTTTGTGGTGTCCATGCCCAGTTTGAATTCACCCAGTTTTGGGGTGAATT